GTGTGTGTGTGTGTGTGTGTGTGTGTGTGTGTGTGTGTGTGTGTCTATCTACTTCTTCAGCACATGCTCAGGAGATGATCTGTTTTCCACTGCACCAGTTCACTGACCAAAATATCTGCCATCATTTCAGGGGTCAAGCTGGACTGTACCCAGATTTCTACGTGAATATTAGCTGACCCAGACACTTCTGTGAACCCCTGTAACTCAAGGATGGTTGGTTTTTTTTGGGGGGGCAGGAAAAACTGGCATCGGAGACAGGCTTGACTACTGAGCAAGTGTACAGCTGGTTTGCCAATTATCGGCGGCATCAGAAGGCTCTTCTCCAGCATGTGGCAAGAGCCCAGGAGCCCACATCTGAAGTTTCCCAGGCAAAGGATCCTGTTCCTGAGCCAGTACAGCTGTCAGGAAAGCATTGTGTGTCTCTGACTGTATCTCAGTGCTCAGGTGAGCAACCCAAGGCCCTTTGGGGAGCTGATTTCTGACAAGATGTACCTGGCTCTGAGTTCACCCTGGTATGGCTGTGTGGGTCCGGAGGCGGGGTTCGACATAGCTATTAGGACCTACAATGAGTTAATTGGGAAGAGAATCCATCTCCAGGCTTGGAACTAATGGTTTGCACTGAAGTCAACCCAAGGGACAAGACTATTTTGATGACTAAAGATCACTTCTTTTTTTTTTTTGGTTTTTTTGAGACAGGGTTTCTCTGTGTAGCCCTGGCTGTCCTGGAACTCACTCTGTAGACCAGGCTAGCCTCGAACTCTCGAACTCAGAGATCCACCTGCCTCTGCCTCCCAAGTGCTGGGATTAAAGGCGTGCGCCACCACCGCCCGGCTTAAAGATCACTTCTTATTGTGGTCTGTGGAGCTGCTCTCAGCTGGGCAGGGGGCTGGGACCTAATGCACTCCTCTCTGTGGTTTGCTTCCAGATGGATGTGAAGGAAGTGAGACTCTAAGGTCCCCAGAGACCACCCAAATACCTAAGGGGCTGACGTCCCCAGCTGAGAGGTTTTCAGGAGAGAACACAACATCACCACCACTGGGTTTCAGGTAGTGTCGTTCACTCAGACCAGGGGACAAGTTTCCTCTTTAGTCTGCCCCTCCTTTGTTGGAGACCAGAGTGTAATTTATCCTTAAACCCATCCCTTTCCCTTCTGGGCTCTGTCATGGTAGCTTGCTTTTGGTATCTTTTTTTCCCCCCCAAAAAGTTTCCTGTTCTTTCATTTTATGGAGTAAGCAGCAGCCTGTATGTAACTCACTGTCTGGAGCTACTCCCCTGTGGCAAGGCAGGAGCCTTCTGCATACAATTCAGTGCCAATCATGGGGCCAGTGCCTGGCTGGACACTGCCCAGGGGTATGACCTCTGCAGTCTCACGTGAGCTCTTACCTATGGAATGGGGATGTGGTAGGGCCTACCATACAAGCTGTGGTAGAGGTTGATGGGGTGTATAAGGAGAACTCTGATCATGTTTGAGATACCTTAGCCCTGATGGAATATTCATGAAATCACTGTCAGCTTCTGCCTGATATTTTTTAATATTAACCATCGTTTATTCATTTGATATCAGGGTCTTGCAAATCATTCTGTCTTTTCTGGTTCTTTCTAATAAACGATTGGCATTATATGTGACTCTGGGCAAGTCAGGCCCATCCCTTGGTAGCCACAGAGGAGATCAGGCAGGGCCACTAGTGGCAGTGATGTGCAACCTTCCACAGCATCTTTGGCTTCACCCCACATTCCCAACCTTGGCCGGATTCCACTCCTAAGACCAACCCACCCCACCTTGGCCTGTACCCACCAGGGCACATTGTTTGGTTATGTTTCCCAGGTCACTCTATGGATGTGAAAGACACCCGGAGTGGCGAGGTCATCATCCTGCCAGTCTCACATCCATGGGCTCTGACCCTGGGCCTGGCTTCTGCCCTCTGGCTACTGGCAGTAGTAACATGCTTGATTCCTCTATGAATACCCCTGAGTCTTGGATGATGCCCAAGACTTCACTGCCATCCTCCAAGGAAGTTTTCCTCCCAGTGGAGCAGCCGGGCCATATGCAAATTCTGAACTCTGGGATGGATGCTGAAGTCTCTCCTTTGTCCGTGGCCATTGCTGCCCTCACTGATCTCAGCCATGCAGGTGAGTCCACCATATACAGACTGTGATATTTTGGGCCAGCCCCCACAGCTACCACGGTCCTCAGGTACCGTGCTGGGCTGGATGCGTGGAGGTGGTCATCATCTGCTTGAACCAGAAATGTTCAGGGAAACCTAGTACTATCTAGTCAGAACAGAGTCTTCAGAAATATCCAGGATTGTTTTTCATTTGTGTCTCTTTTGGAAAAAATGCACATGAATGTCAAAAAGACAGTTAGGAAAGAGTTAAAAATGGATGACAATAGCTGCCTGCACACATCAGCACCCCCAGCTCTTTCTAAGTTATCTGTGAGTACCTGTGCAGCAATGGAAAGCATACACATGCGACATGCCCCTCCATACTCCATACTCTGTGCGTCATTTCTGGGTAAAGACCGCACAGGTATCACCGTAGCTTTTTTAGTCTCTAAAACAATGGAATTATGTGATTTTTCCATGATTTTTCCATCTTACAAGGGCAGCAAGTTTGCTTGTGTCTCTTAGCATTCTGTGAGTGTAATGCATGATTTCATTTCTTGCAGTTTTTAATTTCCTCCTTAAAAAAAGTGTAAAGCCTCTGATTTTTCACATTTTTAATACCTTCCAGTATTTCTAGCACGCCATTTGAAAACTTACTTCTGGGGGACCTCCTTTTCCCAATCTCTGGGTAGATGAGGGCTCCCCAGGTCTGGGGTGGTAGCTTCATGCCAAAGGCAACCTTAATTCCCCACTCCCAACTTCGCACATGTCCTCCTTGCATTGCAGCTCTTGTTCAGCTGATCATATTCCCACAGGCATGCAGATTCTAAGGAAGGTGAACTAGAAGTGGGGCAAAGCTGTAAGCCCATCCTCAGTGTTACACCAGCAAGCCTCCATCACCTCATCCCAAGCAGAGGTAGAGGTTCCAGATCCTCTACCTGTGCAAACAATGGAGATAGAGAGAGATTGAGACATGGAGAATTGGGAATAAACAGCTCTAAATGTGATAATGTGATGTCTCCATCAAATCCCTACCCCCAGTGTACAGGAAACCCACAGTAAAAGAGGCTAAATAAGTGTAAGAGCCAGAGGTGTTGGAGGACCCCAGGAGTACAAAGCCCTCTAAATCAACTGAGCAACTGAGTGGATCTGGATCTGGGAGGATGGTGGAGAGGAAGTGGGAGGAGGAGAGAGAGGATAAACTGTAATCAGGATATATTGTGTAAGACAGGAACATATTTTCA